GCCATTTTAGAATTAATGAAGATTGCCTTTCGGGGCTTCTTCCCTTGCCTAGATAATTCCCTCCTTTTAGGCTCTGTTGTCATCTGAATTTGGACGTATACTTATGATCCTGGTTTTTCTACACCACCAACTTGATCTGAATAAACAAAGCGAAGTGGATGCAAACTTCAGGATAAAAGTATGTATAACATGGAATGAGAGGGAGAGGACTCTGAGCTAGACATGTTGATTATACTGTTCAATGTTAGCTCCGACTAACAGGCGAACAGAGCGCACAACACTTGCATAAGAAGCGGACGGCTCAGCTACAAAAAAAGAGCTGCGGCTCACACTGTTGGTGTCGAAAGCTGCAGCTCACACTGTTAGTGTCTGGATTGGGATCTAATTTTAGTGATATAGAAATCAATTTGATTTATTCACCCTTTGGCAAGCAACTATTTTTAGATGATGCAATTGATCATTCTTGTATTTGCTTTTATGTGGTCTGATTTTATCATACGAATTCAATCTTTCTTGATCTCAGCTTAGTTTATGTTTGTTTATTTGCAGATTATTTACTGAAGACAATGGTTTCAGCTCAAGAATCAAATGCCTGAAGCCAAAGGTTCCTACTCAGAATGTTCACCGCACAACTCCTGGGAAACAATGCCACCGCTATGTGCATGCAAGATGGAAGATCGTAAATATGTTTAGTTTCCACCAAGATCCTATAGCAGTGTATTGCTTCACATAGTTCTCTTTAAGTTTCATTTTTATTATTCAAGGCTCGATATTGTCATCAAAGAAGCTAGCACTACATGCAAATTAAGGAATTGCTACATTATAAACCATCGTGGATAATATACTTACCTTCTACCATGAGGTGATTCACTGCCATGTTTGTCAATCATTCACATTCATTAATATTTTCAATGTGTTGTTGTAAAGGAAACTCCCTCTGTACCAATACTCATGTGTTATTTTCTTTTGATTATCACTTTTCAGACTGGTCGGGGTTTCTAGATTGGAAGGAATTTGTTTTTGATTGGCCTTTGGGTTTCAGATAATTTAGAATAAGTTACTACAGCAGCCGAACGCCGCCACTTCACCGGGCTGCGCCGCCCAACTACCGTCTATCACCTGCGTCCCATGGCTCATATTGCAAGAGGCAAGACGAGTACGCATTAATTCGATTCTTATAATGCTGGTCTTGCTAGCTTTCGAAGTAGGCTGCTTATGCATTTTTTTACAACAAATGCTCATGGAGCTGATATATGGTACTGCTCTTTGTGTTCATATTGTAACATACCGCATGGATTGATGAGCTTGAGCCTGACTCCAGAGCTTTCTTTTAGTTGGTTGTGCTACAGTTTTCTATTTGGTTTCAGATTTTCAACTTGACATATGTATGTAGCCCTCCCCATTTACTCATTCTCCGATTCTTTGGGTCAGTTTACAACTTCTGATTGTTTAATTTATTATCAGTACAGTGTCGATGATGCTCTACGACTACCAGAAAAATTCTAATATACCTTTTATTTTCTTACATAGTGTTGCCGCCAACCCCGTTAACGCCGTCGTCGTCCTCCGTAACACCCATACAACAACACGCACAACAACCGATTTCATTTTATTTCTTGTCCACTATAAAAATGAATACTCTACCGATTTAGTCACATTTGCAGAGCTTATGTTTTTACAGTTACTTTTTTTAATAGATAGGTTCATTGCCAAAACTGGACTTAACTAAGCATATCCATAACCGATGTTCATTACGGGGCTGTTGTATGTCTTGACCAGTGTGCCGTATGGAAGAAAACTTCCTAGGTGACGTTCACAAGATAAATGGTTTTAATATTACACAACATGCCCCTCCCTGCACGTTGCCTTGCTAAGTTGAGCAAACTCTGCTTTAGTGCTTACGTGTGTAGCTTATTATTGTAACTCGATGTAAATCGATTGCTTCATATTCCTTTGTGCTTGTTACTGCATATTGCTTGTTTTGGACCACTGCACAAAATTGCATCGAAAATGAAATTGATACCTACTTTTCAAATTGTCAGAGATCACGAGATCCACTTTCTTTTGGAAAGGAGAAGGGAGGACAGAGAGAATCAAAACAAAGGAATGTAACCCTTAACTTATTTATTTTTTTCTTCAAGAACTGACATTGTTGCTGGAACGCACATAACCTGTATCTTTTTAGTACATCCATTCTTATTCTCAGCCTCTCACCTGCAGCAGTACAAACAAATAAATTCCTAGCAGTAGGCAAAAACTATGTGAAGCCCCTATAATCTGACAAAATGGGTTCCTGATGTGGTTCAGGAAACCTGCCCTCACAATTTGAAGATTATCCCTATACAAGAAAGCTGAAATGAGAGGTGGACACCCAGATTATCGAAGTTAATGTTGATGTGGCATCCTCAGGTGCTAATGCTCGTGCGACCATATGGGTAATCACAAGATATACTGGAGGTAAGTTCATGCTAGCTGTTGCTCGGAGAGGTATGAGTATTCTAAACTCTCTTGTTGCTGAAATACTTGCTCTCCGGGATGGGGTACAACTTGCGAAGGAGGAAGAATGGCCTGATCCTGCCTTCGAATCTGATTAGCAGGCACTGGTGGAGATGTGAAACTCAAGAAAACAAAACAGATCAGAGATTATGGGCCTCCTGTGTGAATTTGAGTAGCTGGGCCAGGATTTTGTTCATTACTGTCTTTTATTTGCAGAGGCGCTAATTTCTATGCATGCCTGTGTGCAAAACTGCCCCTGCAAGTCACTGACCCGAGGCTGTGGTGTAATGCCGCTCCGGATCAACTTGCCTTTATTCGAATCTGAGCAATCCTGAGCAATATAGGTCAGCTCCTTTGATTGTAAAAAAAACTCCTTCAAATCTGTTGGTGTTAACATTTTACTTCAGAACATTGGTTCAATGCCATTTATATTTTTATGTGAGATATATCTTTTTCATTTTAGTAGTCATCAAGTGTGAGTTCTGACTATTTGCAGCATGTAATCAAGTGCTAGAAATTTCATGCCATTTCCAAATCTCACAAACATTTGGTTAGCAATCTCATATCCATTGATCTTTTCCCCATATTTTAGTTATCAATTTCTTACACCATGATATTAAGATCTAATTTCTCAGATTAGCTACCAATTGCTCACACCATGATATTAAGACCAATTGTGGGATTGCATCTCAATAGTAAACACGGTGCAAGGCTACCTTCCAATCGTAACAAGATTTTGTATTCTTTTACAACTTATTAAACAATGGATAAATTAAAGAATATATTATTGTCTCTATGCAACAACATGATCACAAGATGTCTCTCTCTTCTAAGAAACAACCTGAGTGAACTCACAACATTGTGTATACATTTACTTTTTGAAACTCTCTTCATTTTATTTTATACTTATGTGAATCTTAATTTCCAACGATTGAGACGTGCGTTGCATGTGCAAATTTACTAGTTTACCTCAAATGTGAAAGAACAAGAGGTGGGACAGCAAGCCTTTTTGGTAGAGAGAAACTTCAAAATTTCTGGATGCAACGGTCAGGTATGTTGGGGGAAATATGAGCTGCTACACAATGAAGATGATGCATAATCGAATAGGTCTTTTCTTTTGTTAAGAAAAATTTCAAAAAAAAAACTTGATGAAATAGACGGGCCTGATTGGTGGTTTGAAAAGGTCAGAACTAGACGTGGAGTTGCATTTCCGGTCAACTGGCAGACGAGTGTGCTGTCGCCAATTGCATGGCCAGGCACCGCCATGGCCAAATGGGCTCAATTTTTTCTTTTTTCTCCGGTTATAGGCTCGAGTTCATATTGGCCACCACTTGTCACGTATTGTACATCTCAGCCGGTGAATTATTACAACCTTTTGGGAGGGCGGAAGAGAGACGGTCTGCTGCTCGCTTGCTCCTTTTCAAGCCGGTAGCTATCTCCATCGCCGTCTCTGTGTATTTGTCTTCCGCTCGTTGTACACACTTTGTACTTCTATTTCCTCGATAAATTGACTGAGTTTAACAAGGCTGGCAGTGGCACGGACGTTGCTTTGGTAGGCTGATGTTGATGCTCTTTTTTTCTCCTTTGCGTTGAAGTTGTGGTGTGCCCTATTGAACTTTTTTTTCGTGTGAGCATTTTTAGTGTGACAACTGCTTGCTGCGTCTACCAGTGAGTAGTGACTGGCTGACGTTTTTGTGTGTGTCAGCCTCTTCTCCAAGAGGCCGACTACTAATTCAGTATTCTAGAAACATTTTTGGTGCCTCTCAATTTATTCTGCGTGGGACCATAAAGTCTTATATTGGAGTTTCATATGCTAACATTTGTGTTTCATTGTACAACTAAACTAAGTACTCCCACAAACTGAGGATAACACATAGACATCCTGGAAATCGAACACACCCAAAGATTTATACAATCACTGTATAACCTTGTTTCATTGTGTTGAGACTATGGTCGTGAAAAACCCTTTGAGAAAGGGGAAAAAAGGTCATACACCAAAAAAGAGTCACCATGCCGATCGGCATGGGAAAAAACTTGCTGAATTGTTCGTCAGGAAAAAACTCTCATCATTGCTACCTACAGAGACCTGAACCTGAACTAGAAGACGAGGGTCACAAGGAGCGGTTGATGAGGCCACGCACGACGACCAAGCCCAGGGCGAGCAGGTGATCCATTTCCGGCGCCACCGTCAGCGTCAGCACGTCCTCCCCCAGCACCACCCCCGCCCCCGTCTGCTTCCGGGCCACCTCCGCCACGGCTGCGCCATCCACGCCGTGGACTTTGTACTCCGTCTTGCGGGCTGAGCACCCGTTGATCCTGTAGCACGTCCCCGCGCCGCCGTGCATCGCCACGGTGGCCCCGCCCTTGTCAGCCCGGCGCACGGTGAACCACGGCGTCGCCTCCTCCCCTTCCTCATACCGGCAGACCTCCCACCTCCTGAACATCCCGAAGCCCTTGCGCCTGATCCTGATGAGGGCGTTGCCGGCGCGGTCCATGAGAAGAACCTCGCGGCCGCCCCTGCAGCCGTAGTTGTCGACTCGGAAGGCGACGGCGCCGTCGGGGCCGTACACCGCGCAGCCGTTGCCGTTGAAGACCAGCGACTTCATCCACACTGTGTACGCCTGCCTGCCCCGCTGGCCCTGGCGGTGATCACCGGAGGACGGCGGCGATGGGGCTGCGAGGAGGGGCTGGATCTTGGCCATCGACAGGAGATCGAAGAAGAAGAAGAAGAAAGATTGCTCTACTCTGCTCTGCTGATTTGGACGGTGGAAGCAGTGGTTGGCTTCACCTATTTATAGAGAGGGATGCTTGAACTAATATTTATTCCGTTGCCGGATTAGTTAAAGGCAGTATGTGCATCACGCTCACGCGCTTAGGATAGATAGAATAGTGCTGTACTGGATTACTAGTTGTTTATGCTCCGTCTTGTACTGTATACAGTCAGCATGCGATTAGCATCACGTCTAGTGATTCATCCGACAGTTGAAACCTGTATATAATTAAACCGCAATGCAACGTAATGCTGAACATGTGTGAGATCGCATCTGAAAATGGATAATAGAAACGTACAACTTCGATCGCATCTGAGAAAAGAAAGCAGGCACGTACGTGCGGTGGACGGTAGATAGGTACTTGCACCTAATTAATTAAGCAGTCGTTTAGTTTTCTCTCGTTTTCCATGGACAGTCCTAAACTTTGTCTACAGCATCACTTATCCACACATGCATGGCAGAACTCCATTAAAAAGAAGCCACGGTTCTGATTTTACACATATTCTTGCTGGATTACTGAAATCCGGCTCCAGCCGTTTGGGCAAACGGCTGCTTGTCGGACGACAGAAAATGTTTATACAAGCCTCTGATCGAGTATGTGCAAAAAAAACTGAGAGATCAGCTGCTACCACTAATTAATTAGCTTAGGGCATGTACAATGGTTGATAAGATAGTTTTATCTTACGTCTTGCATGTAATTAAGAGAGGACAAAAAAACATGTCTACAATGGGTCATTTCTTAGTCTTATCTTCAATAACTAGCGATTCCTAAAAACGTGCTGAGACATATTGTGCTAAGAGATCATCTCTTGTCTTCTCTTAAATAAGAGAAGACAAGCCTTTTCTTATCAATTCTTCTCCTCCACCTCATCATTTATCCTGCGTGACATTGCTAAGATAGAACCATTGTACATGCCCTTACAACTCACAAGGACAATGTTGCAGTGTTAAACAAAGCAAGGCCTACCATAAAACTGGGAGGTTGGGAGGGAACCTTGTCAAGATCAGCAACGACGACTTTGCCAATAATGCAGCGTAAACAATATCATTATTCTTAGCACGCAAAAACCATGCGTACACATGGATGATACCTACCGTATTTTGCAAAACCGATGAGCCTCCAGGTGTGCACGATAGGGAACTTTCTTTCTTTGCGCGTTTATGGTATGGTACGAGCTGTCTACGTGTAGAGCAGCTCAACTAGTACGACAGACATAGGCAGAGCTCCGTGGAGCACCAGTTTAACACGGGGCAAAGCCTATTTTCTAAAAGAAAGACCCGAGGAGCTTAGGGCAACTCCAACAGGACAGCAAATGTTTCTGTTTTTTATCTGTTTGGATGGTCAGATGGATATCAAAAGTTCGTCCGTGTCCACCGGCCTGCATTTCATTCCTTTTTTTCATTTTCTCAATTAAAAAATATATATTGCCGTCATAAGTTAGTTCATTACATTAACTAAACTAAAAAAGTGCGGGCGGTTTGAGGGTCAATGTTAAAAATGCCCTAATACGGTTTAGGTGTGTGCGAACGATGAGTTCTTTAGGGATATACTCCCTCCGTTCCTAAATGTAAGTCTTTTTAGAGATTGCATTACAAACTATATATAGATGTATATAGACATATTTTAGAGTGTACATTCACTCATTTTACTTCATACGTAATCCATAGTGGAATTTCTAAAAATACTTATATTTAGGAACGAATGGAGTATTAGGTGTGCATGCAATGCAATGTTCACAAGCGTTGATTCCACTAAAATATGTTAACTAAGTACAGTACATGGCTAACCTGGAGGGATCAGATACTGTACGATCTCGGCCCCTCCCATCGTTTGTCTTTTGTAAAGTGATGATGCTACAAGTACATTGTACACTGTGTACACGATGGCACATATATATCAGTATCACACACGTGTATCTTACCTCTCTTTCATTAATTTGCATGTGTTTTTGGTGTGGTGAGAATCATTTCAAACGTGAGCAGTGCTACATTCGATACGCTACAGTTGAGACCTCTCAAAGCTAGGAAAGTACGTCGAATAAACGGTGTGATCGCTGACTTGCTCCGTATCATTTGTTCTTGTCTCAGCTAGTTGCCTGCTCGACACCTCACTCTGTTCGTTTTCCAACCTAGATTCAAGAAGGAAAAGCTAAATCAACTTTTCATTTTTCACATGTGAGCCCCTGATCTTATATTCTTCTTTTTCACATGTACGTTTTCTAGGGTAGCTTTAGGATTCTTCTTTTTTGAGAATATTTGTAGATTTTACACTTGACTTTAGCATGCAGAGTTGCTGTTCAAAGACTCTTGTAGTACGTACGCATGGTGAGACTTTGCATATATTTTTTTAAAAGACTTTGCACATTTATTTGCTTTTGAAAAGAGGCGCCAACCACAAATATGAACATTAGAAAATTTAATATATTTCATTTCTTATCTAACAATCTCCCTTAAAAGGCGGTCAAAGAGCACTCTTATTTGACCACTGGCCGAAGATACGTACTGTCCTTGGAATTTTTGTTATCTTGTTAATTGGCTGGTTGAGATTATCTTTCATCCTGAATTGTTAGCATCAAATTTGCATGAAAATATTTTCAGGGGTTGTTCTATAAAAAAGACTGACACATGGGACCCATCTGTCATAACGGTTAAAGCTAACGTTGTTGACTTTTATGCTACAGTCAACACTTACAAGTGGGCCCTTCGTGTCATAAACCTGTTTAAAACTTAACGATTCAGAGACTAGTTTTTTTTTCAAACAGCGAACCGTCGTACCACAAAAGTGGTAAGGTTTAGAAACTTTTCAAAGAACAGTAGTTTTTTGAAACCTTAACTCGAATTGTGGTAGTTTTATGCTATTTACGCACAAGTATGTGGAATCGGCTGATATTTCTTACTTGCACGCTTGGTTCATACTTGACCAAGAAAAATAGAAAAAATCACTTAGTCCATGCATTATCACATTTAATTTACGAATAGATGTGTAGAGAAAACACCTCTGCTCTGGTGTGATAGATACATGCAGGTTGGCACTCCATGCTCTGTCTCTACAACGTACAACACATGGACCATCCCAACGCATGAAGCTGAAACATGGATCAAAATCCACAGCGCAACGCGTAACATGTGTGATTTATTGGACAACTCTTGACGTCGACCATGGAAACGTGCTGCGGATTGTTCTATCTTGTATCTTGTGAGCATCTAATAATCTGTGAAAAAGCGGGGCCTGGTATTACGCATGCGTACGGATGGTTACTCTTTGTCACACCTAAATAAGCTGCAAGATAAAAAAAGCTAGCTAGATTTAGCTGAAGATCGATCTAATCCCCGTTCTTGTGTTTATCCCCTTTCGTTTCTCTGATGTCACTCCACGCAGAGGTAGGGCCACGACCCACATCATGAACTAATTGTTTTACAACAACAGTTATCCACACAGGGCAATTGACAGAGTAACAGAAAAATAAGCTCCATTCTTAGTTTTCCATCATCTAACAAGATTAGTGCCCATGACTTCATTCCCTTTTTGATAAAGACGAGTTCATTTCCTGCCACTGCATGCTAACATCACATTGTGGGGGATGACCTAAATAGAATAGATAAGAATGCCATGCATGCTTGGTGCTGAGTATATTTTATTGGCTCGAGAGATTAGCTTAGCTCCCAACTCACAATAGCAACAAAACAAGATGATCGGAGATATAGTGCTAAACAAATCAAGGGCATGCCACAAAGCAACCCTGCTAATAATGGGGCATAAACTTCACTCATGTTGATAAGGCATTGGTCATTAAATCCTTGCCTGGAAGCTTTTTTTTCTTCAAATGGCGGACACCACAAGTACAAGGTAATCACGGTTAAAATTTACATGGTTTCCCTTGCAAAAAGGAAAGAAACATGGCTGAAATGCTTCTACCTTTTTATTTTCTTTGTTCCCTAGAGCAAACATGGCGAAAGATTCTGCAATTGAATTTACAGCAAACATGGAGCTAACCAATCAACTTGACTTGTTTTGTAGGATACTAGAACCCTTGGTGTTTGAAGATTACCCACAAGGCCACAAGTGATGAAGATAAATGTTGGTTCTTGCCTTCCATCCTTCACAAAATCCCAATCTGAATTTGTTGAAGGTGATATTGATTTCATAGGAATAAATCACTACTATTCTATGTGAATAGCCGCCCATTAAAGAAAGGTGTTTGTAACTATGCAGCAAACATGTCAGTCTACAAGAGAAGTAAGCAAATTTTATATCTGCATCGGCATATTGCTGCATCATTCATGATTGTTTGGAGCTAAAATTAGGGATTTGATTCATATACTGACATAAATACTGACCAAATAGTTTGGCGAAGCTTGAAACGTATACTGGCAGGATATTTGCTTCTGTGATGCAGGTTCTAGATCAGCTCCAGAGACAAGTGAGGTAAAAAATCCCAATACTGTCTATCAAAGGTGCTACTGGTTTGAGCTGTTTTGGACATACAATGATCAAGCTATCTAAATTGCGACCATTTTACGAGCTGTAGCTGTGACAAAAAGATGCAACCTTTTGAGTGCAGTATGTCCCAACAGCTTATCCAGACGACCCGGAAGAATTGCAATTTGTGATGCAGTACCTGATAGAAGCCTATGGGGCTCTTCCCATTTTTGTCCAAGAGAATGGCAAGTCGATCAGGTTTCCGATCACAACAATCTCTTTGGTTCAGTTTTCATCTAATTTTTTTGATTCGGTAGAATCTAATAAAATTATGGCCATTTGTTATGCACTATTAGTACATCAATGTTGCTTCTTTTCTATACTCTGTCTGATGGGCTCTCTCCTACTCCATGTCCATCTTCTCTACAGGTAAGGCATCTACCAGAGACACTCTGGATGACACATCAAAGTCAAATACTTGAAGAGCTATATTGGGAGCGCACCCACGGCA